TATATATATATATATATATATATATATTTTTTTTTTTTTTTTTTTTTTTATTTAGAACAAACCCCAACAATTTAACCCTTTACAAATGAGGGAATTGATTCATTCATTTTCTATCCTTTATCAATCAGGGGTCGCCACAGCGGAACGAACCGCCAACTTATCCAGCATATGTTTTATGCAGCGGATGCTCTTCCAGCCGCAACCCAACACTGGGAAACACCCAACCACTTTTGCATTTACACACATACACTACAACCAATTTATCTTGTTTAATTCACCTATAGCGCATGTCTTTGAACTTGTGGGAGAAACCAGAGGAACCCCACACCAACACGGGGAGAACATGCAAACTCCACACAGAAATGCCAACTGACCCAGTGGGGGCTTGAACCAGCAACCTTCTTGCTGTGAGGTGATCGTGCTACCCACTGCGACACGTTGCCCCCAAATGAGGGAAAAAATCAAGTCACCTCCTTGCTTAAATATTAAACGTAATACTTCACATATTATTAGAGCAAGAGATCCCTACTTTATGAATTTGCTGGTTTGACATTTTCCATTTTTATGAAAAATCGTAAGAATTGAAGGTTTGGGAATTTATAATTAGTCTATTAATGTCATTCACAAATGAAACGTATTATAATCATTATTGCATTTTTGAAAACGCCCTTTCTTGTTATAAAATAGTCTATAACAAATGCCATTTTGTAAGCCACTATACCCGATATAGGACAAATTATGTTTACATACCTTTATATGTGATACTTTTAATTAAATATTTGTTAATTGTTAAATTACACATCGTTCTGGACAATTTTTATATGGAAAATATACCTAATAATAATAGTAATAATAATAATTATTATTATTATTATTATTATAATATTAACAACAACAACAACAACAACAATAATAACAACAACAACAACAACAACAACAACAACAATAATAACAACAACAACAACAACAACAACAACAACAATAATGATTACAGCAATAGTAATAATAATAATGACAGCAATAATAATAATAATAACAAGAATAATAGTAAATTATTATTATTATAATTATGTTTATTATTTAGACTTTTATTAAATAAAACTATTTGAAATGCTTTAAGACCTTTAAAAACAAAAACAAATAAATAAATGTATGTTTTTCAACATTTTTATTATACTTTTGCGACTGATTTCTGTTTATAAACACTGAATATGAACATAAATTATGAATAAATAAATGAACATTTATACGTTTTTTTTCATCCAAAAGCCAAATTACTAATTTGTTAGTTTGAAATATTGTTTTTGTAGAAATTAATAAGATAAATGTCTCATAAATCAGTTTTTTTTTTATTCAGTTTGTTCCTGAGGCATTAATACAGGTAATTCTCAAATAATATGTTATTAAATTAATTATTGTGGAAATTACCAACCACTCATATCGTGATTACAAAATAAGTGCATTTTTGATGTAATATGTCACATTTAATCCAATGTTTCATACTTAATAATATGCATAATAAGAAAGGAACGGCTTGAACTAATGCATTTTAAGCTTTTACTGTTAATCAAAAGACAAATCAGTTTATGCACCTTTAGTGCACTCCTAATGGTTCCACATGCTGTTCTGCACCAACTAGAGGATTAATTTCTGATCATATGTACCAATCAAAGATCAAAACAAGATTCATTTTGACCAAAAACACCAACTTAATTGCTAATTTTCTAGAAGGAAGCTTTCTAAAAACACAAAATGATAGCAAAGATTTAATTTGAGTGATTTTTAGTCACCTTCATCTTGCAGTATACATTAGCTTTCAAATTTCTGTAAAAGCCTTTTGAAAGCCATATGAAGAATTGTCATTTTGTGCTTAAATATTAAACATAATACTTCACATATTATTATAGTAAGAGATATTATGCATTATTATATTTTTGAAAATGGCCTTTCTTGTTATGAAGTAATATATAAAAAAATAAATATGAATAATTTTGCTTGCTATTTTGTAAGCCACTACACCCGATATAGGTCAAAATATGTTTAAATAAATTTATACATGATACTTTTAATTAAATTTAACAAAAATTTAATAATTAAATAAAAATGTAACAAAATTTGACAATTTTGATATGGAAAATATATAATAATAATAATAATAATAATAATAATAATAACAACAATAATAATAATAATAATAATAATAATAATAATAATAATAATAATAATAATAATAAACAATAATAATAATAATAATTATTATTATTATTATTATTATTATTATTATTATTATTATTATTATTATTATTATTTAGTTTTTATTTAATAAAACCATTATAAATGGTTTAAGACCTAAAAAAAAAAGAGAGTAAATTATTGTATGCGTTTCAACATTTTTTATTACACTTTTGTGACTGATTTTTGTCTCTAAACACTGTTTTTAAACACTTTCTTGTTTAATATAAAAGATAAATAACTTCATTTGGGGGTTCGAAATATTGTGTTTTGTTAGAAATTATAATTAATGTATCATAACTCCATTTGTTCGTGAGGGATTAATGCAGGTAATTCTCCAATGATCTGATATTAAATAAATGATTGTTGCAATTACCAGCCACTCATATCGTGATTACAAAAATAAGTGCATTTTTGATACAATATGCAAATTTCATTAAATGTTCATACTTAATATTATGCATAATTGGATGAAACGTCTTCAACTGATACAGTTTCTAGCTTTTACTGTTAATCAAAAGACAAATCTCAGTTTATGCACCTGTAGTACCTCTGAAAGAGAAAGCGCTCCTAATGCTTCCACACGCTGTTCTGCACCACCTAGAGGATTCATCCCTGATCATATCTACCAATAAAATAACTAAATAAATAAAAAATACAAAGCACGAACACTCTCCAAAAACAATGCAATTTGCATGAATTAAACTTGCATTGATTATTTTTCTCATAAAACAAACATGAGCCAGTTGCCACCGGAGCGGTTTCTTTTGGTGACCACCGGAGTCGTGCGCGTAAAAGTCTCCAGTTACGCACGGCACGCGAGGCTTCAAACCAATTTATTAAACCACCAAAGTCATCGCTAACATAGGAATATCTCCATTATTTGGAGTCACTACACATATAAATCACATTTAAAGAGCGAAAGCAAGACTGCCAGTCCTACCTGGTGTGCCAAAACAGCGTCAACGCGAAGACGAGAAGATGAACCGCGAACCTCTCCCTCATTTCTGACACTCAAACCTGTGGAAGACAAAAGCGAATGAATCCTCAAAGAAGAAGAAGAAGAAAAGACGGTTTGTTTCAGTAATCACCGCCGATCTCAGACGTGTTAAGTTCTTCCGTACGCGGTCCATAAAATCCACCTGCTGATCTTAGATGATGGATCCCAGACATTTCATTAATATTTACAGCGTGTGTCAACGCATGATGTGAATACCAACATCTCTGAGGGAGGAAAACACTGAGCAAGTGTCCACAAATCGCGCCGTGAAGAAGATGATGATGATCTTCATGTAAGCAGCATATGGCTGGGCATCATTTAGGCTACACACATGGTCGGAAACACAATATCCACAAAGATGCTCTACTCTGAGGGGAGCAAACCCACCTGTGATCCACCAGATCCGCTCTGCCCAGACTGATATACAACGAGCGGGATGTGAAAGTTTATTCCCAGCCGAAGAAACCGTGTTATCGGAGAAGCGCGCACGTGGATCAGGAACAAGCCTTAATGAATTCCCATCATAATTCTCTACAATATCAGATGCACACGAGCATGACTGTGAGGGTCTCTGATCCTCCACCGCGTCTCTCTCTCTCTCTCTCTCTCTCTCTCTCTCTCTTTCTCTCTTTAACTAACGCACCGATGCGCCCTGACGCGCCGTGATCTGAGATCTTCTTAACTGAATCTCATACTGCTCACTATTTATTTTTTTTTCTCTCTTGAAAGAAAGAAAAGGGGGACAACTACAAAGAAAGGGACAGGCAGACAACTGGGTCCTAAAGGCAGTTATATTAGGGCGCTGATTGCTCGCGCGCGCACAGTTGATACGTTGTGTGACGGTATGTTTTATTTTCATCTCGATTTATAGACTATACGCACATCATCAAATAACAGTAATTTTGAGGTAAAATATGTGTATGTAAAACAAATAGCTTATTCACGGTTCGGTTTTAGTTGGTTTTGTGATCAGTACAAAAATACAACAACAAAAGCACAAATGAACATAATACTGCTAATACTGCTAAGATGCTAATACAATTAACAGCGTTTGTTGGGTTTTTAGGTGTCTATAATAGCCGTTTCCAGATAGAAATTGGATCCTGCTGAAAAAAACAGCCTAAACCAGCCTAGGTTGGTTGGCTGGTTTTAGCTGGTTGCCCAGCCTGGTTTTAGCGGGGTTTTGGCCATTTCCAGGCTGGTTTCCAGCCATTTCCAGCATGATCTTAGCTGGTCCGGCTGGAAAATGACCAGCTGAATCCAGCTAAAACCAGCTTGACCATCCTGGTTTAAGCTGGACATAGCTGGTTTTGGCTGGGCTTCCAGCCTGGCTAGGCTGGTAAAGCTGGTTTTAGCTGGTCATCTTCCAGCCTGGCCAGACTGGAAATGGCCAAAACCCCTCTAAAACCAGCGTGGTTGACCAGCTAAAACCAGCAAACCAGCCTAGGCTGGTTTAAGCTAGTTTTTTCAGTAAATTGAAAATTAACTTTAAACATTAATTGGCAGTTCATTGTTAAATATGAATTGGTGGTTCATTCCACTGTGGCGACCCCTGATAAAGCAGGAAGTAAGCCAAAGGAGTGGGTGAGGTTAGTGGTACAAATAACACCACTAAAATATTTACTGCAATGAGTAATTTCTTTGTCATTTGTAATCTGATTAATGATTTTTAGACAGTTCACAAATCCAGCACAAGATCTGGTTTTAAAGTATCACGTGAGAAACGAGTGATGGAAGCTCCAATTTATTTATTTATTTTTTTATAAAACAACATAAAAACAATTCACGTTCTTTTAAAGTGATTTTGGACTTCTTTTTGTACGAAAAAAACAAAGTGTTCATTTCGATAATGGAAGATGGAAATGCTGTAAAAGCTCTGATGTGGCGAACATTGCACCAATCAGCTTGCCTTCTTACGGTTACCAATACTACAGTCAGCTCCTTTAACAACTTGATGGAATGCACATAATTTGCATTAGGAATTTTTTTTTTTTTTTTGCTAGCTGAAAAGATTGAAACCCAGATTACATTTGCTATGATACACACAAAATGTTTTGTGGTAAAAATAATAAATAAATAAATAAATGCTTTTAGTACATAGATATACATTTGCTAAATAGCTAACATAAATTAGCTAACATAAATTAATTGCTTTTGATCTACTATAATTTACGCAGCCTCCGCCGCTAAGACTACAGCTTGGCACAAGACGTTCGGCCAGCGAATTAATTAAAATGGTGGTGTCCAACTGAGTCTGATTTCTTTCAAGTTTTTTTTTTCTTTAATTTGTGAAATTTTATTTTCCCTCTCAGCTGTCGCCACTGGCTTGCATGGTTTGGGATCAGTAGAGCTGCGCATCGATGGATTTGATCTCTAATGTTTAGACCCTCAAGAGTGATTATTAAACCACACTGAACTGAACTTAAACACTAAAAAAAACAACTACACTGTTTCAATTTACAATGATCTTCTATGTGAAGCTGCTTTGACACAATCTACATTGTAAAAGTGCTACACAAATAAAGGTGAAAGGTGATAATTTACATGACCAACTGCGGCATAATTACCAAAAGGGGGAAGTTATTCTTTCATTCATTTTCTTTTTCAGCTTAGCCCCTTTATTAATTAGGCGTATTAATTTGCCACAGCGTAATGAACCGCCAACTTATAGAACATACGTACACTTTATGCAGCTGATGCCTATCCAGCCGCAACCCAGCACTGGGAAACATCTATACATTCTCGCATTTACTCACATGCACTACAACCAATGTAGCTTATTCAATTCACCTACTGGATAGCACATGTGTTTACTCTGTGGGGGAAACCGGAGCACACCAACACAGGGGAAACCAGCAAACCAGGTTTAAACCAGCAACCTTCTCGCTGTGAGGCAACAGTGCTAACCCTGAAAAAATTATAAATAAATAAATAAATAATAATTAAAAATACACCCCTGTGACATCAGCTTGCCTTTCTACAGTCGACTGCTCTAACAATGATGGAATGAACAGTTGCAATCAGAATTATTAGCCCCCCTGTTTATTTTTTTTCCCTTAATTTCTGTTTAACGGATAGATTCTTTCAACACATTTTCAGACATATTAGTTTTAATAACTCATCTCTAATAACTGATTTATTTTATCTTCACCATGATGACAGAACATAAATATTTGACTAGATATTTTTTCAAGACACTTCTATACAGCTTAAAGTGACATTTAAAGGCATAACTAGGTTACTTAAGTTAACTAGGCAGGTTAGGGTAATTAGGCAAGTTATTGTATAACAATGGTTTGTTCTGTACACTATCGAAAAAATATAGCTTAAAGAGGCTAATAATTCGAACCTCGGCTCAGTTGGTGTTTCTGTGTGGAGTTTGCATGTTCTCTCTGCTTTCGCGTGGGTTTCCTCCGGGTGCTCCGGTTTCCACCACAGTCTAAACACATACGGTACAGGTGAATTGGGTTGGCTAAATTATCCGAAGTGTATGAGTGTGTGTGTGTGTGTGTGTGTGCGAGTGTGGATGTTTCCCAGAGATGGGTTGCAGCTGGAAGGGCATCTGCTACGTAAAAACTTGCTTGATAAGTTGGCGGTTCATTCCGCTGTGGCGACCCCGGATTAATAAAGGGACTAAGCCGACAAGAAAATGAATGAATGAGGCTTATAATTTTGACCTTAAAATGTTAATTAAAAATAAAACAAATAAAACTACAGAAGAAAAAAAATATTATCAGGCATACTGTGAAAATTTCATTGCTCTGTTAAACATTATTTGGGTAATAATAAAAAATGGGGGGGGGGGGGGTGTTGTGGGGGGGCTAATAATTCTGACTTCAACTGTACGTTTAAGATTTTTTTTTTTTAGATTCACTTTAAAAAAGATTGAACGTGATATCTTAAATAAATTAAGGCTTGCTAGGATAATCATAAAATGTTTTGTAGTTTAAGGAGCACCTATTTTACACCTTTTTCAAGATTTAAAATAAGGCTTTTGTGTCTACAGAATGTGTCAGTTTCAGCTCAAAACACCCATCAGATTATTTATTATACCTTTTAGATTTTCTGCTCTGAACAACCATGTAGCTGTTTTTGTGTCTTGTGCCTTGAATGCTGGTTCTTCCTGCCCACCATTCCATCATGCCTGTCAGAGTGTGTCTCAATCTCCAGCTGCGGCAGATAAACAGCACAGTGACAGACATGAAGGAAGCAGATCTCATGTAACGTTTGTGACAAATACTACAGTAAGAACTTTCCCAATGATTATTTTATGTAATTGTTGTAGAGTTGCAATGATGAGTCACACAATGTCATTACAAAGTTCACACAGGCACAGACACACAAACACAGTGCACGCATTTAACTTTGCACTGTTTTTGCACGCAAATGTGACAGGATATAGTTAATATCTACTGCTGTATAGATATCTGTTATGTTAATGTACAAAATAAACCCGATTTAAGGTCCACAAACCAGGATTGAACCGACTTCTTCTTTTATAATTGTACTGACATGCGGCCAGGGGCGGACTGGGACTAAAATTCAGCCCTGGCACTGTTGCCACACCAGCCCACATTACCACACCGACACAGCCCCACCCACATTCACTATTTATTTTGGTGTAAAGATGGTGAAATAATATGACATTATTGCCAGATTTTGAATATGTCCGGGTAACCTTCGATTGGGTCGGCCCATCTTGAAACCAGGCGGCAGTTGCCGATTGGGCCAAATGCTTAACATTTATTATTATTATTATTTTTACTATCATCATCATAATATCCCATCTAGCAAGAGATAAAAGCTGTCTGCACTTAAAAACAATACATATAAAAAAAAAAGACTGACCAGCCCACATTTAAAAATTGGTCCGGCCCTTCTGGCATTTGCCAGATTTGACAGATGGCCAGTCCGCCCCTGCTTGCGGCTGTGGTGATAAAGACATAAAACATAAAACATGCACTGTTTTAAAAAGGTTTTCAACTTGTAAACTCATTTTTTTATCACATTTGGGTCACACTTTACAATAAGGTTCATCAGGTAATGTTAATTAATGCATTTACTAACATGAACAAACAATGAAAAATACATCTACTACTGTATTTGTTCATGTTAGTTAACATTAGTTAATGTAAATACAGTAATTCATTGTTAGTTCATGTTAACTCACGGTGCATCAACTAATGTTAACAAGCACAGACTTTGATGTTATTAATGCATTAGTAAATGTTCAATTATGATTAATAAATGCTGTACATGTGTTGTTCATGATTAGTTCATGTTAGTAAATGCATTAACAAATGAACCTTATTATAAGTGTTACCCACATTTGATGATGACTGATGATCACAGAGAGCTGAACAGATCTTTTAATCCTAATTCCTTTGCGCAAGTCCTATCTTGTGAATATGATTATACATGTTACTACAGAGACATGTTAATACGTGACTGTCAATCAATTCGTTGGGCGGGAAAACCTCACTCCTACGTCACTTTGCGGTGGGCTTCAAAATGGGAGGGATTCAGATCCTATTTTAACGTCACGAAATTGTTTAAAAAGAGACGTACTGTCTTTATATCACTCCAATATGACTGTGGATACACTATACCTACACACAGTCCTGACCAAACAGCTTACAAAAGATGTTTTTCATCAAAGGTGCCCTTTAAGAAATTTAAATAAATAAATAGTTAAATAAATAAGCGAGTACAATTTTTAATAGTGCACATATTAATGTCGTTTTAATTTATAATGTATTGTAAAAAATTATA